GAATTTTCAAGATTTTTTTCTGATTCCTTAGAGATATCTCTATGTGCGGCTAAAAGCCTAGATCGTGTTGAATTAGATGATGATGCTGAAATTTGAGGATTGTTAGAGTATAGGGTTCTTTTTTTAGTAAGTGCCTGAATATCAATATATGACATTTCTTTTGTATATACATAAAATTCGGTTTGAATAACTTCCAACTGGCCAATGATGAAAAGCATAGATTCATTAGAGTGAATGGAGTTTTTAAAATGTTTAAATCGAGAGTTAAGATATAGATAAATAATCTTGATTACAAAATTGTGTTCTTGAGTTGTAAAGTCATTGACTAAAATTTCAATGACTGCATCTTCATTGTTTTTAAGCTCTTCAGGAGTATTTTGAGTAATACCAACCAGGGAAGCGTTCAATGGGCAATTGTTTGAATTGAATTGTCTATTGGTTATTTTATTAATAGCAATGTGTGTTGACGCTGCAACAGTCATCTGGGTTTATGGTAAATTATTATTATTATAATAATATTTATTATATATATACTGTTATGTAAAATCCAATAATAGTACTTTTGGCCTTTTAACACCACGATAGCATCCGGGGATAATTTTTTCACAAATTGCATAGTATTTGTTTTTTTCGAAGATCGCTTGGCAGTCAGAATCTATATCGTCAGTATTTATTGGTATGAACATTACCATTTCGATATCATTATCTTCTTGTTCAGCTAGATATGTACTGATAGACCATACAATAGTTAAATTAATATTTTCATTTGTAGATTGTCGAACTTGATTAATTTTTATGATAGTATTGCAATAGCACGGCATGGTTATTATTTTAAGTGAATTTTTTTAGAGATTTATATAATTATGTGGTTAATGCAAAATACTAACTACGTTTAGGCAGTTTTTGTGTTTTAGACTCTTTTGTGAATATATATTTGTAATTGTTTTGGATATATATTAGTATAAAAAGATGTATGTAATTGTTATAATGTGAATTACTGTATTATAAGTTTTTTTTCTCAGGAATTCAAATAATGCAGGTTAATAGATTAAAAAGATAGTTCAAGTATTGACGTACCCACATTCACATGCGGTGACTTGATAAATTTAACAATAGGAAGTTTGAATAGATAATTCAATTATATTTGGTTTAAAAGAGTACAGAATAAACATTTACGTAACTAATTCTGTTTTTTACATGATTTTTTTCATTTAGGGTTATTACGATTGATGGGAATAAAAATTGGAAATGCCTATTTTCACTATGGAAATTTGTTATTTCCACCATGTTTTTCATATGACTTTCAGCTACATAAACATGAACATATTGTCATGATAAATTACATTAAATGGTAGAAAGCGGCACTCCCTAAAAATATAGCTTTATTAGTTATAGAAAAAAAAAGTGTAATGGTTGATATTTATTATTTAGTTTCGTGAGTAGATTTTAATATATCTTAATCACATGTTTTATTCATAATCATCAGTTATAGTTATATCACGGGATAGTGGTATATATTTATGTGATATAGAAATGATCTGCAAATATATAAAAAGTTATTCTAAAACTGATTTCTATTTAAAAAAAGAAGCCTTTTTATTATCTAAAAATAACAATCAGTTTTAAAAAAGCTTTTAAAGTTTATTGCATTAGTTATTCTATTAACATGTAGTTTAGGAATCCGTGGAGATCCTTGAGGTTTTAAAAATGGTTGTGCGCTAAATAATAACATAGCCAATGATTGGTACAAATTTATTAATAGGAGCTATTTATGTAGTATTTTTATTATTGTAACTATGACAGGTTTGATTAATATGATTGTGTTTATTGAATCAGTTCTTTATAAACTACATTGTTTGTCTTAGCAGTTGTATTACCTTCTGGTAATAGAATTAAACAATAATCTTTGTTTTTCATGTGGGAAATAGCAGTGTATAGCTGACCATGTGCAAATACTTTGGTTCAAAGATCTATAACAATATGATCTAGAGTAGGATCTTGACAACTATTAAAAGTTGTTGAATAGGCTAGACATAGCAGAAATTGTTTACGGTATACTGTCTATGAACAATAGTCTGGTTGAAAATAAAAATTGATCCTGGGAAGTAGGTGAGTTTCTAATATATGGTTAGGTTGGTTATTATTAAGTAGCGTTACTTCTATTAATTGTTGGCCCCCGTTAGTTATCATAACCTGAACATTTTTAACCAATCCTCTTTCAATAGAAATATTTCACATGACAGAGCAAATAGCACCACATTTTATATGGAGTTCATGGTTCGGCATTTAGGATGTGTTAGTTGAGCTAGGTAATCTGGTGTTGCAACTGGGTGGTTATTTAATATTTTATCGTTTTCTTTAACGATATCATAACTAAAATATGTATAAGTAATTTCTGGTAAAATATCGAGAATTTGACTATTGAAGTCGTCTACTAAAATATTTCAGGGGCTAAGGAAAGCTCTTTTTGGTAACATGATGTAATCTGTGAGTAAATTTTTTGGTATAAAAAAGATATTGTTTCTTTAAGGCTATGCGTTGTTTTAAAATTTTCTAAAGATACTTCTGGCTCTTGCTAGTTATTTCTAATAGCATCAACAAATTCTGCAAAATCTGAATTAGTTGCATTACGTATGGGTTGATTAAGAATATGTTTGTCAAAGTATGTCCACATATACGAAGTTTTAATCGATGTGTTAATTGTAGCACTTTTGCCTGCTCCTTTGACAACAGGTGCTACTTGTCTAAAATCTCCAGCCCCTATAAACAGTTTTCCTCCAAATGGTTTATCTTTGCCACAGATTTGTCTAAGAAGAAGATCCATGCTTTCTAATATGGCTTTATTCACCATTGGGAGTTTGTTCCAAATTATTAGTATTGATTCACAGATCAGGTCAGCTCGGCTACTGTAATATTTAATTAATGATTGAATGCCAATATTGTTTTCTTCTACAGGTATTCAAAATAATGAGTGGGCTGTGCGACCACCTTCATACAATAATGCTGCCAATGCAGTTGTTCCACAAGGTAAAACAATTCTTTTTGCAGCATGAATTGTGTGACAAATAGCATTAATGAGAAAAGTTTTACCTTGACCAGCTTTTCCGTCTAGGAATTTCAGAAATTTTGATATTGGAATAGGGCCATTTTCGGTTTCCAAAGTATGTAAGCTATGACTTCATTATAAAAAGTAGTTTGTTTGGAAGTCATTTTTGAGCAGAATTCTTTAGTAAGTTGACTATATCGAACATAGTCAGAATGGCGTTGATATTCGGCAATTACTTCCTGAGTCCATGTTCGTGGTTCTGGAAGACCAAAATAACATAAATGCCGGTCATGTTCAGCAAGTATAAAGGCTATCTGTTAAAGAGCAATATTAATGGTATTGGAATGATTTCCATGAAATTGTTCTTGTATATCGGCAGAGAGATTTGAATTAAATTTTTGCCATATATCAAATACAGGAGCACTATCTAAAATTAATTGCAAAAATAGAAAACGTAGTTGTGCCGGTGTTGAAAAGTTTTCAACAGCTTCTTTCATAGCACACATACTTTCATTGTTATTAGTGAATAACCCCATTTCTCGTGCAGTTTCCTGGTAAGTTGAATATGTAATATTATTTAATATTTTGATTTCATCCCATGTTCGAATTGCGCGATGTATTAAAATATTTCTCAAATAAAAAAGTTTACCAGATCCTGGAGCCACTAAAACAATTCTGGTGATTTTATTAGTAGTTCGTTTTCGAACAATTTTTCTCAACACTCTAGTTTGTTTTTGTTCAAGGAAATCATTTTCACATATATCTTGTTGTTTAAAAGGATATAACAAATATTGTTCATAGTATTCTGCGTATTTAAGTTTGTCAAATAAAGATTCAAGTGGTCGAAGGAAATATCAATCTAGTAGTGATACGGATGAAGTATTGTATGAATGTGAATATTGTGGAATATTTGTATTATGAAGATAGATGGGTAGTGCTTGTACAGATGGGTCTGTTGAAGTTATCTGATAACAAAAGATTCTCCATATGGCTTCAGGCGCTGATAAATATCTTCCTTTTATGTAGTCTTCAAATTCATTTATGCGTTGTGAATTTGATTAATTAGTATTAACAATATCTGCATTATTTACAGTGAATTTGACGTAATCGGGTCCTTTAAAAAGATATTTATATAAATACATAAATAGATATACAGTAGAAGCAATTTCAAAGTTGATGTGACATTCTAGCTTCATAATTAATATGGGATTATAAGGTACTACCCACATATCAGCTCGCTTGTGGTGACGATATTGCACATAACCTTTCTCATCAATATAGGTTTCTAGAATAATTGGTTTCGGATAATGATAAATACAGGTGCCATTGCGAAGACAGCGAGATGAGTGCTGTTGTCTGTGAATCATATATGTTTTTACTACAGTGGGACCTCCCTATAATCACACCCCATATAGTCACGCCTCTATTTAAGCACCCAATTTTATGCAATAGACTTAAAATATAGTAAAAAAACCTTATTATAGTCACAAATCACTTATAATCACTATCACATTAAAATATAATTTTTAAGTCAAATTTATTAATAAAAAAACCTCCTTATAATCACTAATTTATTAATTAAAAGGTTATTCGACTAAGTTAATCACCTTTAGGGGACGGAATGGGCCAGGTTAAACCCGGAAATTTGCGGGCCAGGCCGGGTTTGGGCCTAGTTCGGGCTTACATTTTTGAGCCCATTATTATTTGGGCCAGGTTTGGGTCAGGCACGTTAAAATACCTGGCTGGGTTTGGGCCTTATAAAAAAAGCCCATACAGGCCCAATAATACCCGATAACCCAGTAACAAAATTTTTTGGTTAATTTGTGATACAGCATGATCGATATGCACACTAATAGTATGTAATACTTGTTTTACAGATAATTTTAGAAGAATTTACACATAAAAGCCCAAAAATGAAAATAATTACAGATGAGGGCCCAAAATAAAAATTCTTACATATAGCTGCCCAAAATCAAAAATTATTACAAATAAGGGCCTGTCTGACCTCTGAACTATACTCGGCAACTAAGCCACATGACTTGCATAGTGTCACCTAGAAAAATGGTAGCCGGATTTTTTGCTGGCTTATATATGACTCCGAAAACTGATTTCTGGTTTATCGTACTTAATAATGATAAATATATTAGCCTTTGTTTTGACTTTCACATGATCTTCACTTTAACTTCACTTGATTTTTATTTTGATTTTCGCTTTGACTTTGGCTTTTGCTTTGCTTTCACTTTGAATTTTGCTTTGACTTCATTTTACTTTTCGTTTTAACTTTGACTTTCACTTTGACTCTTCTTTGCTTTGACTTTCGCTTTAACTTTCATTTTGACTTTCACTATGACTTTCGTTTTTACTTTGACCTTCTCTTTGACTTTCATTTTGACTTTCACTCTTATTTCAAAAATTTTTGCCGTGTTGAATTCACAAAAAATATAATTTTAATTGATTATTTAAATAAGCTATTTAAGTCGTGAATATTTTATACTTTGCTTCTTGTTTATTATCATAATGTTAATTTAGCTAAGATTTTAATGTTCAAAATAATCACAGCATATTATATCTTTTTATTCTTGTTATTTATTTATATATAGATCTTTTTAATCAATGCGTTAAAATTCATAAATTCATAAATTTGTTAAAGAGATTTGTGAATAGTACTTTAGCTTTTTTCGTTAAAAAAATTAATTGCATCTTAAACTATTTTAGTGATATTGTATAATTATTTTAATCCTGCTACCATTTTTCTGGGCGACGCTATGCAAGTCTTATGGCTTAGTCGCCTGTATAGCTCAGAGATTAGATAGGCCCTTATTTGTAATAATTTTTGATTTTGGGCCGCTATATGTAATAGTTTTTATTTTGGGCCCTCATCCGTAATTATTTTCATTTTTGGGCCTTTATATGTAAATTCCCCATAATTTTATCATTATAATGTCGAACACATTCAAATACTTGCCTAACATAAAAAAGTGCCAAATAAAAATTAGACTATAATAAACATAATAATAAACGTATAACACAAATAGGTGCTAATACCAGGAATGGAGTAATGAATATCACGATGTGTTTCTTCACAAAATCTTGCAATGTGTAAGGACGTGAGTGCGATTCGATTGTTTATATGCAACTTCGTCACCGGATTTGTGTATTTAATTGTGCCCAAATTTGGGCATGCACATAATCATCTCATGTGCGAATGTCTAGTTCTTTTTTATATAGTTCATTATAGGGAATTGTAATTAAGAGCCTGTTACAAAGTGACAAAGAATAATTAGTGTATCTAAAAGTCATTGTTAAGTAGTGAGAAGTTATTTTTCTCTTACTATCGCTTGTTTTACAGTAATTAGGAAGCTAAGATAATAGTTTGCACTTATTTTAATAGGTTAAATGGTAATGCAACGTCAAGCTTTGTGGCAGAAGTAGTAATGTAAGGACTTTGCTTAGTGGTAATTAGGCTCCACGAATGTAAAAACTTTCGTAAGATGAGTTTTAGACTTTGCAGCTGCAACAGCATTACAAGAACCCCTTGTTGAACTTCACACCATTTTTATCATTTCATGAATAGCTACGTAATCAATCCTCTTTGAAGCTACATGGATCTCTTCTCGACGACCTGTCCCTTATGCTTAGTTTAGTTAGAGATTATAATTGGTTTTTTTTATAGGTGTAGTAGTTTCAATACGTTAAGAGTGGGTTAATAGTCAGTTAATTCGAATAGTATTGCTTTTTAGAGGTGTAATATTTTAGTTATAGGAGGTAGAGCCTTTAATGATGTTAAATAGATTCCCATATGTTTTTATTGTGTTTTAATAAAGCTATTTGTCATCTGATTGAGCGCTAATAATAATATTCTTGATAGAATGAATTTCAAATTGAAATCTAGATTTGAGACACCCAATGCTGTTATAGTACATACCATTATGAATTGTAGCACCATCGTCAAAAATGTTTTGGTATGCAACGCTTTCAGTAACATTAAAGAAAAAACTAAAAACTAATTATAATCAGTATAAAGACAGTGTATTACAAAAATTTGCAGACTAGACAATTCTAACAAAATATATCAAGTCAAAAAGATTAAATTATTACTTGGAAACTATAGTTAAAATGAATAAGCATTTATATTTTTAAAAAAGAAATCTAGCATTTAAGCAAAGATTAAGTAGTTAAATTCCATTCTTGGTTTTGCGCACATCAAGCTTTGTCAAAGTTTTTTTCAGTGTGTTCTTTACGGGCCGGGCTTGGGCTGGGCCGGGCCTAGTTTAAAATTAAAGCCCGAACCGGTCCATACTTATGGGATTTTTTTTTTTTAGCGGGCCGGGTTCGGGCTTGCAAATTTTTTTCGGGTTTAGTTTCGAGCTCATGCAAGCCCGGCCCGACCCGGCCCATTCCACCCCCCTAATCACCTTTGAGTCTCTAAGTAAAGTTGTAGAGCTCATTAAGACGAATCTAATGGTGGTTAAATCATCAAAATCAGCCT